ATATATATATATATATATATATATATGTGCCTCCCACATTCAACTAGCTCATTGAAACATGGCGACGCTTCAAATTAGGAGTATGATTCATTATGATGAAATTGAAAATTCAACTACGATTCAGAAATGTTCAAAAACAATTCTTTTTCATAACAACCGGGAAGGAGTAGTAGCGCAGTAGGAAAATAAAAGTCGTGCATGATGCCCGGAAAGATCATTTAAGGTGTCCAACTGGCATACAACCTTAGATAGTTTTTAAGGTGATCTGTTCTTTACTAAGCACCGGACCACATGTTGAGTTCATTGGGGATTTAGTTTAGCTGACGCTATTTATTATTATTGAACTAGCTAGCTAGTTTTTGTTTATTTAGTGAGCTATTTCTCTTTAATATACAATATGCTGCTAAGAATGTCCCACAGAAGATGGATGATTTATCCGACACATTTATTTTATTATTTTTACAAGGTTCGGTTTTTGTTTTATACGGTTCTAACCTCAACTATGCACAGCGGAAAATGAGGCCGATATAACTGCACCAGATATATTTAATTTAAAATTAAAAACTTTACTTTTAAGGTGAAACAAATGTTGGTAATTTCAATACACTACAAGTGACAGAGACATGAAACATGTAGCGTGTTTCTCCACAAACTGCAAAACAGGAAGTTCGGTTCACACCTCATCAACTTCACTTTTTAGACCAATAGAACGTCAGCCTAGCTGTTTATCGTCACCTTTATCTAAACACTACATACCACCAACTGTTCTGTGAATGTTTATACATATTTATATTTTTCTTTCCGGTTTCCTCAGTGCCTTATATCTCAACATACTGGTTCTTAGGAAACATTTTCTGGAATTATGATTAGGAGAACTGAGAGAGTGTAATTATTTTTTAGATGAAAACTCTAAAAATAACACTGAATAATGTTTTTGCCACAGGAAATTAATCATTTCCACTGAGCAACTAAATACCAAACTGCAGGTATTTTTTCAGGGTGAAATTTCCCCGCCTTATCTTTTATCACCAGTGTCATGTTGCAACTGTTATAAGAGGTGAGGGTTTGTGTGGTTTTTTCTCTCTCCGACGGCTGCTTTGATCGCTCAACTTATTTATCAAACTGAATGGCAGGGGTTTATTTGATCTTTGGTTTTGAGGAGAATGAGCAACAAGGAAATAGGCAGTAGGAGTGGAAATTTGTGTGAATTATAAGGTTGAAAAAAATGTGTTGAAAAATATGTTACATGTGTGAGAAGCAATTTGAATTTGTCTATCATAAAAACAAAGTAAGCTCTGGATTTGAGTGATCAGTTCTGATCATTTAAACCTCAGTCCAAGAAGAAAATGATTCTAGTGCGGGGGATAAGTGTGAAATTAAACTGCGTGTGCAGAGATTTGCTCTGACTCTCTTCTCTTGCATTGACTAACATTTGTTTAACTTTTTTAACGTGAAATGAATGTGTTAATGCTGCTTAATCGAGAAAAAAATCTGATGAAGTTTACCCTACAGTAGTGACGCTTCCAACAACACCTTCCAACAACACCTATGGCTTATGGTGAAACAAATCCTGCAACAGTGAAAAAACACACAGGACTGTGATTAAGTTTAACTAACGGTTATCTTCAAAACAGTCATGTAATGTTTTACAAACTGGACATATACACTTAAACTGTCAAACTGTATCACATCTTCACCCCAGACAGTATTTTATACTGTAATTGTGTACTTTATTTTATTTTAGTTTATTTTCTTAATATTTTGCAACAGAAAAATTGAAACAAATTGAGGTACACACATTTTAGAAATAGAGTCTATAAATTAGTATACATATTTATGTATTATAATTGACTTATTTGCCTACAAATGTAAATGTGTTCATTTGTTGTTTTCCATTATATATTCTAATGTTAACTGTCTTCATAACGCGAATACTATAATCATATTAATAACCGATAAGGCTACAATATATTTAAAATATAATGTCAACAAAATTGCATAAAACAAAGGAAAAGCAAATTAATTTTCTGTTTGAAATTCACTGAAATCTGTCCTGTCCCTTGTTCCTCTGAACAACAAGCAAAGAGTAAAACAAACAGCTGATTTCACTCCACACCCTAAATGCAACAGAAATAAATAATTTCCTCAAAGCAGAAACGTATTATTCTATATAACTTGGACATTTGTTCCGCAAAACTCTTGATTTTAGCACCACCCGTACCTCACGTTGATATTTGTACATTTGCTTCGATATCTGCAGAGCTTCTTCTTTTTTAATTTTTTTTTAGCTATAGCTGTCTAATTTAAAAATATACACTACTGAGTTCTTCACTCGCACTTTCGTACAATTCACGTTTTACGTCACGTCTGACAATAAAAATGCTTGAATCCTAAAATTATGTTGTATCTTTAATATTTTATATTTTGTTGCGTGTAATCCAGACCAGGAAACACTTGATATTACCCCAGATAATACTGCTACTACAGTCTTGTTAGGAATTTGCATTTATGTATATTTACTTACTGGTCATTAAAACAGTCGTTTTTTCGTGTGGAAACTGTACTTCTAATTGCAAATATTGCAAGTATTGGTACAAGTCTACCCTCTAGTGGACTTTTTTAGTCAAGACAACAATCCCACCGTGTCCTTGAATGGTAATGCCCTCTACTGTTGCCCAGGTGATTTACACAGGACAGTAAAAATGAATCACGGTGTCAACTGAAGCTTAACGTTGATCAGAAGAATGTTAATATTGGCCTATAAGATGTGAGTGTCTCGATAAGTGTGTCAGCCATTGCTTTATTAATTAATTAATGAATTTATTTATCAGAAACTCGTGTATTTAAAACAAGCTTGACCAATTGTGATTTAAGAGTTAATTTAACACTCCTCGTGATAAACTATTTGTTTTGAATTCTTGGGAAAGTTTTTTTTAAATATTTATTTTAATTTATGTCATAATAGAAATTCCATCTGTTTTTCTTCATTTCACGACTACGTGGCGCCATCATGTCCACCTCTGATCTATCTAAATCAGTGGTTGTCAAACTGTGGTGGTACGCGAGCGCTCTCTAGTGGTACGCGGGGAAAATTCCCATTTTCACATTTACATTTTCAATTGAATAAATCTGAAACATACCACGCACAATTAATATAACATTTAAACATAAACATCTTTATAGATCATTTATAAACATCTCTCCTGTGTGGTGGAAACTAATAGGGAAGGCCTACGCTGCTATATTCTGATGTTGGTCATCATGGTGGTACTCAGAGAGATGTGTTTTCTCAGGTGGTAGTACAGAGTATAAAGTTTGAGAACCAAGGATTATGTAGTTACATATTAAAGCTGTATGTACTACTAAACACACTTAACAAGTATTTCTGCCATGAAATATATCCTGACTCTATTTGATACTCACTTATAATGTGGTTCCAGCTGTGTGTGTCGGTTAAGCCCTTGTTCGTGTCCTCTAAACGGGAACTATTGATGTCTGCAGTAGTACAGTGTGTTGACAACACGGAGAGGTTGGGCGCTTAACGTCTAAAGATGGTTAAAACGAGTTTAACAGCAGCGTGCCATCTGATTGGCCAATTTCCACGTAGTGGGCGGGCTTTATGTAAGCCGGCACAGAAGACTTTTTTTTATCAGTTGGCTCAGCGGCAGCATGGGCTCTCCCAGCGGAGAAAGTCATGGACTAACACAAACAACACAAGCAGGGAAGAATTTAACAACTGTGGAGACTTCAGTTCATGTTCTGGGGCCAGGGTGTATGTAGTCGTTCATGTGAGCAGAGAGTGTTGACTTCAGACGGCGTCTTTTAAACTTTGTCGTGCTGTTCTTACTGAATATGAAGTGGCGGGTCTGCACAGGTGTTTTGACGGGATAATTACATGGCGTTGTTCTGCTTCACAAACTGGTGACAGTGGCCCACACGATGGAACACAGCCAGTTTACTGCAGGGCCAGACAGCCTAGAGAGTCTGTCCTCGTCCGGCTCACACACTTTGTCCGATTGCGAGGAAGGCAGTGAGCTTCCCGTTGAATTTTATCGAGTTGGAGAAGACGTTCACAGCTCCGACAACGAGAATGTGGACGAAGTGGAGGCAGGCGGACACACGAAGGAACGTCCAGAAGAAGAGGAAGATGGAGAGGAAGACGAAAAGGTAGCTATTACACAGGCGAAAGGAAATGTTCGGGGACATTTTTTTAAACCCTTTTAAACTTGTTTTATTTTTAAATAAATCATACCCGATATATATTTAAACATTTAGGCAGGGTTTTACAACTTGGACGTTGAGGGACTGGAAA